CCATATGAAAATACACTGCAAAGTCGCTGTTTTAATCCAAAAACACAGTTGCAGTCTTTTCTCATTATGCACTGCGTGCTGCAGGATTTGTTTTATATGGTGCACACTTACCACATAGATGCATTCTTTCATAGCTAGGCCTAAATTTACTGCTCACAGCTTATCTGAGGTGAGCTCATGACATAGTACTACGGCTTGGATCCTGGCTTCATCTCATTAACTGCCGAGAGCCAGAGGCATGTTTTCACTGCTCGTCAATGGCGCATTCCATTTTCGTTTCAGTCTTTGTGCAGTGGCTATGACTTCAGTTTTTCTTCTGTTTTTTTTTTTTCTTTCTTCCCAGTAGCCCACCAGGCATTGCCCAAATGTCTGTATGGCCAGTTCACCTCTGGTTATTGTTATAATGCTCTCTATGACAAAGTAAAACTGAACTATGATGTTACAATATAAACATGACAAGAATGTTAATGTATACCAGAATTGAAAAGTATGCCTTTAAAAAATAAAAAGACAGAAAGTACTAGACTAGACATGTCACTGTGGGAAACTAGGAGGAGGTGAGGGAATGTAAGAGCTATGTTCTTGCAAGTATAAGAGAAGGAAGAGAGATGTGATAACATACATACAGTGGACCCCAGGTTAACGATATTTTTTCATTCCAGAAGTATGTTCAGGTGCCAGTACTGATCGAATTTGTTCCCATAAGGAATATTGTGAAGTAGGTTAGTCCATTTCAGACCCCCAAACATACACGTACAAACGCACTTACATAAATACACTTACATAATTGGTCGCATTGGGAGGTGATCGTTAAGCGGGGGTCCACTGTATATTGTAACCACACACCTCTGCTACACACACTCTGATACACTACACACACTAAAATAGGAAGATATTGGGTTAATTGGAGGTTTACTAGCTAATTTATAAAATATTTGCATAACTGTTTTTGAATAATTAGAAAGTTTTGGTGAGAAAATTGTCACTTGGTGATTATAGTAAATCTTGTTATCAGTTTTGTTTTATTCTAATATGGTATGTTCAGTACAAGAGGTGAACTTTTATGATAATTTATAATTATTGAGATATTTTGATATAAAGTGGACCATTATGTTACATGGTAGTTAGGTTCCTGAAAACACCTGTTAGATAAATCCGTATTCGATAACCTGAAGAACTTATGGGAAAAATAGGGTTACATTCCTGGGAGCCCCATAAAAGCCAAACAACTTTTTTTTTTTTAGACCTTCAGATCTTACAAAAATGAAAATGAATACATAATTTTAGTTCATTGCCGTGATTTACTGCTTAAGACTACCAATGCAACAGAAATACATGTAATAGTATTTCTTACCTTAAATTGTGGGTGCTGGTGTTTGTGGATGACTGTGAAGAGAGTGGAGAGTTATGTTGTGGTCCTACTGGGCTGAGGTGGATGGTAGAGGTTCTGGTACTGAAGTTGATGGTTGTACTGGAGTGTGCATAAATTCTGTAATGGATTTCTGTTGTTTTACCCTGCAGTACATTATACAGCTGATGGTAAGGCATCAGCTGTTCTAGACACTGTTTCTAGATTTGTCAGGGTTCTCTTCAGTGAAAAAGTCTAACTTAAAGTCGGTCAGTCAAGTCAGTCAGTCAGTCAGGAAAGTCAGTCAGTAAAGTCAGTCAGTTATTCATCACACAAACTCATATATTTACCTCATTCTTTTTAACTGTACAAACTGACACTTCATTAAGGCCACAAGCTCTCTCTTGTCTAATATCTCTGTTTTCTTTGTTAATTCTAAGGCTTAAATGCTTATACCTTTTCATGTCACTTTCAGCAACACTTCTATGCCTGCTGGGTGCCATGATTGCTTGGCAGATACAAGACAGGGCAATTAAAAGATCAAAATGCAACTCACAAACACAGCTAGCTCCTAAGAGAGAATGGAACTGAAAATGTATTCACGAAGGCTGGGAGGGGGTGGTAGGAGTGTTGGGGGTGGCAAGGGGATGGCAGTAGGTCTTTCCCCTGCTGGCACAATGGTCTGACCCACAACAAGGTGTCAGCTTGAACTGGGGAAATCTTTTCTGTGCCCGTAAATGGAACTGTGTTAAGTTAATTGTTCAAAGTGTTGTATAAAATTGTGCCGTAATTTTTCAGTAGTGCAATAGCCAAAACGTGGCAAATAAATCCATGTAATATAATGGTCTACTGTAGTAATGAATTGAAGATGAATGCATAGCCGAGGTGTTCAAAAGATGAAGTTTAAAGTTTTTTTTTTTTAACAATATTGTCTATGATTTAATTTCTTAGGATTTCCTGGAGAGTTGTCGAGCTAGTACACTCCTAGCAGAGCTTACAGATGATGAGTTACCAGATCCAGATGATGATGAGAATGATGATGATGACAATGATGATGACGACGAAGACTATGAAGAGGAGGAGGAATGTTATGAAGTAACTGTAAGAATATACCTGATGTACCTGTTGGATTACACTACTTTTTTACTGACCATTTAATGTTTGCCAGCTGAACTTAGGAAAAATATAATTGTGTAATTTGATTGTTTTTATGTATTTTTAACACTGGCCAACTTGAAAAAACTGTTACTTATGAAGAAAGGCTGACGGCATTAGAGATGCCGTCTTTGGCTGATAGCAAGAAAAGAGACTTTAAAATGTATTTGTCCTAGGAAAGGATGGAGGGAGGGGGTAAAAGAAGTTTTGTGTGCAAGGGGCTTGGACATGCAGCAGGCATAAGAGCGTGATAGATAGGAGTGAATGGAAATGAATGGTTTTTGGGACCTGACAAGCTGTTGAAGTGTAAGCAAGGTAATATTATGTGAAGGGATTCAGGAAAACCAGTTAGCCTGACTTGAGTCCTAGAGGTAGGAAGTACAATGCCTTTACTTTAAAGAAGGAGTTTGGGATATTGGGTGTTGTGAGTAACATTTAAACTGTTGTATCTGAGCGCCTCTGCAAAGACAGTGATTATATGTGAGTGATTTTGAAAGTGTTGAATGATAGTGAAAGTAGCTTTTTTTCTTTTTAGGGTCACCCTGCCTTGGTGGGAGATGGCCAACATGTTAAAAAAAAATATATACAGTGGAACCTCGTTTTTTGGCCACTACGTTTATCGGCCGATTCATATTTAAGCCGGTTTTTCAGGCAGAAATTTTGCTCTGTTTTTCGGTCGTTACCTCGTATATTGGCCATATTAGATGCATTAGCCCGCCTCTCCCGCCAGGACATAGACTTTTGGTGAGTCAGTCTCCCTGTGTCTGTTGGCAAGTGAGCATATACTCCGCACATTCATCCAAACATTTCCTTAAAATCCGTTGTTTTTGGTGGTTTTTTATTGAGTACGACTGTGAAATAAGCCACCATGGGCCCCAAGAAAGTTCTTCGTAAAGTCCCTTTGGTAAAGAAAGTGAGAAACATGATGGAATTTAAGAAGGAAGTACAGGTACCATCTGACTTACGACCGAGCTTGGTTCCAACCAACTGGTCGTAAGTCAAAATGGACGTAAGTCAAATCTTTGAAAATTGACGACACACTGGGTAAGGCATAATGTCAAACCTTTGCTGTATAAACTACCTACATAGTATTGTAATGTAATGTACAATCATTATTTCATTCTTTTTATCATAATTTACTTCTATTGATATATCTTAATCATTTATGTTCTGTATATTATGTATACTGTACATGGTTGTGAACTGTATTGTAAATTTTACATCTCATACAGTATCGTATGTTACTGTTATCTTTAAGTATTGACGACACAGTGGAATGGGAGAATACCACTGGCAGTGTCATCCTGCCAGAATGTCCTATAACCTATGCCCTAAGTAAAGAGAAACAACTCTCGAACATGTGTAATACATACGTATTCAGTTGGCTGGCTGGCTGGCTAGCAGGCCGGCTGGCTGGGTAGGTGGGGGGGTGGGGGTTGGCTGCCTGACTGACTGAATTTGGATCTCCATCTGTATTTGTATCTCTCTGTATCTCTCTCTCTATATATATCTCTCTATATATATCTCTTTCTCTCTCTATATATATATATATCATTATATATCTTTCTTTCAACACACCAGCTGTGTCCCACCGAGGCGGGGTGGCCCAAAAGGAAAAATGAAAGTTTCTCCTTTTACATTTTGTAATATATACAGGAGAAGAGGTTACTAGCCCCTTGCTCCCGGCATTTTAGTTGCCTCTTACAACACGCATGGCTTACGGAGGAAGAATTCTGTTCCACTTCCCCATGGAGATAAGAGGAAATAAACAAGAATAAGAACTAGAAAGAAAATAGAAGAAAACCCAGAGGGGTGTGTATATATATGCTTGTACATGTATGTGTAGTGTGACCTAAGTGTAAGTAGAAGTAGCAAGACGTACCTGAAATCTTGCATGTTCATGAGACAGAAAAAAGGACACCAGCAATCCTACCATCATGTAAAACAATTACAGGCTTTTGTTTCACACTCACTTGGCAGGACGGTAGTACCACTCCCTGGGCGGTTGCTGTCTACCAACCTACTACCTAGGATCATTATATATACATATAATCAAATACAAAATGGGAATTGACACAGTTACATTTTGCTGATGATACTGTGCTTATGGGAGATTCTAAAGAAAAATTGCAAAGGTTAGTGGATGAGTTTGGGAGTTTGTGTAAAGGTAGAAAGTTGAAAGTGAACATAGAAAACAGTAAGGTGATGAGGGTATCAAATGATTTAGATAAGAAAAATTGGATATCAAATTGGGGAGGAGGAGTTTGGAAGAAGTGGATGTTTTCAGATACCTGGGAGTTGACGTGTCGGTGGATGGATTTATGAAGGATGAGGTTAATCATAGAATTGATGAAGGAAAAAAGGCGAGTGGTGCATTGAGGTATATGTGGAGGCAAAGAAGGGAATGTATGAAAGTATAGTTGCACCAACACTCTTATATGGGTGTGAAGCTTGGGTTGTAAATGCTGCAGCGAGGAGGCGGTTGGAGGCAGTGGAGATGTCCTGTTTAAGGGCAATGTGTGATGTAAATATTATGCAGAAAATTCGGAGTGTGGAAATTAGGAAAAGGTGTGGAGTTAATAAAAGTATTAGTCAGAAGGCTGAAGAGGGGTTATTGAGGTGGTTTGGTCATTTAGAGAGAAGGGGGGGGGGTTCCTTTTTTTGGGGGGGGGGGGTTTTGGGGGGGGGGGGGGGCCCGGGGGGGGGGGGTTTTTTTTTGGGGGTTTTTTTTTTTTCCCCTTTTTTGGTTTAAAATTTTTTTTTTAAAATTTTTAAAATTTTTTTTTTTAAAACCCCGGGGGCCCCAAAAAGGGGGGCCCCCCCAAAAAAAAAGGGGGTTTTTTTTTTTAAAAAAAAAAAAAGGGGGGTTTTTTGGTTCCCCCTTTTTTTTTTTTCCCCCCCCTTTTTAAAAAGGAAAAATTTTTAAAAGGGGAAAAAAAAAAAAATTTTTTAAATTTTTTTTTTTTCCCCCCGGGGGGGTTTTTTTAAAAAAAAAAATTTTATTTAACAAAAAAAAAAAAATTAAAACCCAAAAAAAAAAAAAAAAAACAAAAAAATTTTAAAAAAAAAATTTTAAAAATTTTTTTTTAAAAAAAAACCCCGGGGGGAAAAAAACCCCTTCCCCGGGGGGGAAAAAAAATTGGGTTTTAAATAAAAAAAAAAAATTTAAATTGAAAGTTTTTTTTTGTGTTAGGGGGGGAAAAAAATTTTTTTTTTAAAAGGGGGGTTTTTGGGGGGGGGTTTTTGGGGGGGGAAAAAAAGGGGGAAAAAGGGGGGTTTAAGGGTTAAAGAAAAAAAAAAAAGGGGGTTTTTTTTGGGGGGGTTTTTTAAAAAAAATTTTGGGGGGAAAAAAATTTTTAAAAAGGGGGGAAAAATTTTTTGGGTTGGGGGGGGGGGGGAAAAAAAATTTGGGGGGGGAAAAAGGGGTTTTAAAAAATTTTAAAATTTTTTTGGGGAAAAAAAAAAAAAGGGGGGGGCCCCAAAAAGGGGTTAAAAAAGGGGGGGGGGGGAAAAAAATTTAAAAAAAAAAATTTTTTAAATTTAAGGGGGGGGGTTTTTTTAAAAAATTTTTAAAAAAGGGGGGAAAGGGGGTTAAGGGGGGTTTTGGGGGTTTTAAGGAATGGGGGGGGCCGGGGGGAAAAAAAAAAAAAAAAAAGGGGGGGGGGGCCCCAAAAGGGTTGGAGGGGGGAAAGGGGGGGGGGGGCCCCAAAGGGGGGGGGGGGGAAAAAAATTTTTGGGGGGGGTTTAAAAAAAAAGGGGGGTCGGGAAAAAAGGGGGGGAAAAAAATTTAAAAAGGGGGTTTTTTGTGGGGGGGCCCCCCAAAAAAGGGCCGGGGTTTTTTGGGGGAGGGGGGTTGGGTTTTTGGGGGTTTTTTTTAAAAAAAATTTTTCCCTTTCCCCCTTTTTTTGGAAAAAAAAATTTTTTGGAAAAAAAAAAGGGGAAGTTTTTTTTTTGGGTTTTTTTTTTTTGGGGGGGCCCCCCCCGGGGGGGGGGGGTTTTAAAAAAAAAAAAAAAAATTTTTTTTTTTTTTTTTGGGGGGGGGGGGAAAAAAAAAAAAAAAAATTTTTTGGATGGAAAAAAAAAAAAAAATTTTTTTTGGGGGGAAAAAAAAAAGGGGGGGAAAATTAAAATTTTGGGAAAAAAAGGGGGGGGAAAAAAAAAAAAAGGGGGGGGGGGGGGTTTTTTTTTGGGGGGGAAACAAAAAGGGGGGAAGGGGGAAAAAATTTTGGGGGAAGGGGGGGGAAAAAAAGGGGGGGGGTTTGGGGGGGGGGGGGAAAAAAAAATTTTTTTGGGGGGGGTTTTTTTGGGGGGCGTTTTTTTAAAAGGGGGTTAAAGAAAAAGGTTTTTAAAAAAAGGGGGGTTTTTTTTTTTAAAAAAAAAAGGGGGGGAAAAAACCCCCAAAAAAGGGGTTTTAAAAAAACAAAAAAAGGGGGGTTTTTTAAAGTTTAAAAAAAAGGGAAAAAAAAGGGAAAGGGGGGGAAAAAAGGAAAGGGGGGAAATTTTTTTTAAAACCCAAATGTAATTTTTTTGGTAAAAAAAAAAAAAATTTTTTTAAAAATTTTGGGGGGTTTTGGGGTTGGGGGCCAAATTTCCCTTTGGGGGGTTTTTGGAAAAATTTAAAATTTAAATTTTTTTGGGGGGTTAAACCCAAGGGGAAACCTAAAAAAAGGGGGGGTTTTTTGGGGGGGGGGGTTTTTTTTTTTAAATATTTTTAAAGGGGGGGTTTAAAAAAAAAGGGTCCCGGGGGGGGGGTTTTCCCCCCCAAAAAGGGGGGGTTTTTTTTTAAAAAACTTGCCAAAACAAAAAGGGGGGGGAAATTGGGGGTTTTGGAAAAAAAAAAAATGGGAAAAAAAAAAAAAAATTTTTAAAAAATTTTAAAAAAAAATTTTTTGGGGGGGGGGGGGAAAAAAAAAAAAAAATTTTTAAATTCCGGGGGGTTTCCGATTTTTTGGAAAAGGGGGGGAAAAAAAAAAGGGGGGGAAAAAAAATTTTTTTTG